CTCTCTCTCTCTCTCTCTCTCTCTCTCTCTCTCTCTCTCTCTCTCTCTCTCTCTCTCTCTCTCTCTCTCTCTCTCTCTCTCTCTCTAGCGCGCGGCGACATTTGCATCTGACAGCTCCTTAGTCTATACTCACACCAGGATTTCTTTTCAATGTATCCATCAGTTCCGGTGTATCTTCCGATGTTCTTGCAGAAGATCTCCTTCTCATTTTGCACATTGGCAGGTTGCTCAGTTGACGCACATGAAACTGTTGAATTGCACACGTTAGTTCGAATCCAGCGGCGACCACAATAAAATAGTTTTGATTTACAAATGATCCGACGGCGTGCTGATGCCTTGGCCGATGCCCCCCCGAATGCTTCCCATCCCTCATGTTCTAAAACAAACACCCTCGATCTCACCCGGGCCAGATAATGGCCGTGCCTGCGAATTCTGTAATTTTCAAACATACTCCAACATTCACCACCCTCAAGCGTCAGTGCAACAAGAGAGATGCAAGAACCATAAAAGGATATTGTCTTGGACAGGTCGATTGGAATAGACGCACTGAAGTCCTCAAGAAAGAAGCGTCCATCTTCAAGCTGGGAGATGCTTCCCATGGTGTATTTGCAGCCCGCACATCCCACCAAGGACTGCAAAGGAGTGAGCTGCACACCAATCACCAGCAACCAGCGAGAGACCAAAAGGAGTTACACTTTTCCATTTCTTCACATCTGCTGAGCGTTTCCGGATGATAGGTAGAATGATAGGGTTCAACCCACTTGGAAGAAACTAGATCCAGGTCAGCGGCACCATGTGCAAAAAAATTAACAAGGTATACTACTACAAAGTTCAAACTAAGACTGGGAGATCAAGGCCATAGCTGAAGTCCAAACAAGACGCCTCTTGAGTTGGAACACATCAACAATTTGCTTCATCGACAGCTGCAGATGGCCACCACTCCCACACACAACTTTAAGACGCACAACTTGTCAATGCGGAAAGCAAGACTGAAGTGCTCCCATAACCAAGCACAAGTCACTGGCCATTTTCAGCATAAAAGACCACACAGCAAGCCCCGGAGCTAAGCTGCTCTCACGCCTGGTTTACTTCGCCAACCCACTGGCCAAATAGCGAAAATTTGGGCTGAGCGGTCTTCAAACAAGAGCGGGAATGACAGACCCTTTCCCCCCTTGGATGAAACCATGTCCCGACTTCCGATACTTCTTTGTGAAAATCAGAGCAGATACAATGAACAACAGGAATGAAGGACTCCGTGACCCATCAGATAACAACAGACTCGTGGTTATGCGACGTGAAATGGAATAATTGGGGTTGTGAAAGCCTTTTGCTTGGACCTATAAAATGCCCTCGGCACCTTCAGTCCAAACGATCAGAATGTCATAACATGATGTCATTATTTGGAGCGAACAATAACAGCGGAGCAAGAAGCTGAATTGGACAGACCCATCTTTCTTAATGAACTCCATCCCAGCCGTTCTAAAGAGAATGGGCAACGAGAAAGCACAGGCAGGGAGGGAATGACAAAGGAATCCTGTCTGGGACTCTGGGCCCACTTCTGGTCGATCTTGGGAGAATCCCCCTTGCACTTAACCAATGGCAGCTGGGATAAAAGGGGCTTAGAAAAATTCTTAAGCACAAGTATAGTCTCGAAGTTACATAAAAAGGGCAACAGGGACAACCTGAAAACTATAGACCAATGTCCTGACTGACTAATCACATACAAGATACTAGCAAAAGGCTTTGGCCAAATAATCCTGTCCCTAATTGACAAATGAAGCAAATGCTTTCTCACATCAATGAGGCTGGGTTCATTCTTGAGAGGTAGATTTTACACAATGCAATGGCGCTTAACGAATCATCCAGGGAGATCCCAGAAAAAAAGAATGCAGACAGCTATCCTGTTTTTGAAAAGCATATGGGCAAGTTAATTGGGATTTCCTCCATAACTGCATGGGAAAAATGGGTTGAGGGAAACTTTTCAGGAAATGGGTTAGAACTTAGAAAAGCAAAGTAGTCATGCCGACCGTCGGCGACCCTCGACCCATCCGGGGACAACCAGTCGATTGTCGAACCATCGGCTGCTCAGAGTCATGCCAACCATCGGCATCCCCCCTGACCACTCTGGGGGTTGCCAGGTCCTGCCACGATGACAAAGCAGACTTGGAGAGGGATTCACACTGCACCAAATTTGAGGTATGCACAGCAGAAGTCCAGTAACCAAGAAGAATTGAATAGCACAATCAGATTCACAAAGAAACCACGGGTCACAACCGAGAGTAAACAAAGTCAGAATACAGATTCACCATGCCTCCCGAGTCTTCCTCCTCCCTCCAACTCATCCTCCATAGCCAGCTGTGGCACACAGCCCAATTTCACCGGCCCAGCCTCACTACTCTGCAGACCACCAGCATCTCCACTCTCCTCCTGTCTCAGAAGCACCAACGCCTTTCAGAACTCAAACATATGCTCCACGCTGTGCCAGAGACCTCCCATAACAACTAGCACCAGCACCTGGATGAAGAAGCAACCTGCAGCTTGAAGACGAAGAAAATAGCAGCCACAGAGAAAAAGATATGGCAGCGGACTAACTAACCCCGCAGCACAGAGATGCTGTCTCCAGGCTCAGCAGATGAAACACCCGCTTCACTGCTGCCCGAAACCCTAGCAGCGGCTTCCCAGCTACAGCACTACTCCAGCGGCCTGGCGGCGTCAACAAGAGCACTCATCAACTGCTCCCCCAAAGAGCGCTAAGTTACCACTGACACTTCAGACCTACTTTATTTATACTTCTACACTAACCTACCGGACTCGACTGCCTAGGAACTAAGATCAAGACCAACTACCAGTTATGGGTCAATGTTCTCCGGTGAAAACAGCACCGGTCTGAGGCAAAGGTAAACCAAGTAACAGTTATGCTCTCTTTTCAGCAACCGCGGTACCAGTCCAAGGCAAAAGTAAAGCAGCAGTCAGTTGAGGCCTGAAATGCGGTTCACGAATAGTAGTCCCCGTTTTCGCAGTAGTTTAAGGGATTTGCAGAAAAGTCTCCGTCGGAATAGGCCTTTTTCAGTTGCTGGCTACCATCTTCGCCCGAATAGAATGCCCAGTAATTATCGCCGCTTCTGGGCTGAAAGTTGTGCCAAATACAGCTATAATGACCGGGCGTTCTATTCGGGTGAAGACGGTAGGACCCAGAACTCTGAGAAATTGCAAAATTGTCCTCGTCAGTGCTACAGCCCGCTGAGAAACTGCAAGAACATTGCGCACCCACACAGGAGCCACAGACCAGGTAACAAAGAAGGAGAAGAAGTGCTCAGGCACAACCCCTGGTCTGTAATCCCTGCATTCCTTATGAGTCTGGGCACCCTTGATCATTAACCCATACGGACCGGGACCGCAGGTGGCGGCTCACTTGGGTTGAAAGGTGGGTTCGGATGGTTCAGCACCTGTGGTCAGGCCAGCAAAAAGAAACCTGGTTTTCGGAACAGGAACAGAGAGGTAAACTGAAGGGTTGGCACCTCCTAGCTGAGAAGTTAGAACCTACTGGACCGAAGCGTGGGCATGTCAGCTTATAGGTAATTCCTCCAGCTTGCAGATAGAAAAGGAATCGGACTGATGGTCCCCAGAATGGATATGGAGCCAGGACCATAAGGGAGCCGTTATAGTACAGTTATACCAAAAAAACAAAAAAGCAAACCAAAAAAAAAACAAAAAACTGGCCAAAAAACTTAAATAAGCCTGTCTCCTGTTTGGGCGCGTGTTCTGGAACTGAGGTTGTATTGAAGTCCACCCTTTGTTCTTCGGGACATCCATTAAAATTGGAACGATGCAGAGATGATTAGCATGGCCCCTGCGCAAGGATGACCCACATAAATCGCGAAGTCCGCCCTTCAAGAGTCATTCCTGGGGGATGAGGTCAGAAAAGGGGTAAGCCTCCCAGATACGAGTAGGTTAGATTCTCGTCTGCTTTTGTTGAAGATTTCTTTCTCCTCTTTTTGCTGTTGGTAGCTTGGTTACTCCAGTTTCTATGTTCCATTCTGGAATAGCATGTGGGGATCTTGAAGCATGGGACACTGGACCCGTGTTCCAGTATGAGCCTTAGCTGGGTATTGGTGGCCCCAGTATTCCGGGTTGAGATGTGGAGGGATTCCCAGTTTTTGCTCATACAATGAAATCATGCTATTTCTATATTAAAAAAAAGAAAAAAGGCTATGTTTGTTCGCTAGTTTAACACTCCAGCCTCCAGGAGTCGACTCGTCTTCACTGCGCGTGGGCTGCCGACAGAATTGCTTGACTCAGTGAAGCAGGTGGCAGACGAATGCACAGTTGGGCAGGGTGGGCAGGCATGTGGGTGGGTGTGCACTGTGCAGGCAGGCAGGCTGCTGACAGACAGATGGATACGGACGGATGGACAGATGAACATACAACTGAAACACAGAGAGAGACAGACAGAGAGACAGAGAGACAGAGAGACAGAGAGACAGAGAGACAGAGAGACAGAGAGACAGAGAGACAGAGAGAGACAGAGAGACAGAGAGAGACAGAGAAACTGTAGCATGCTGAGGCCGCTACACGGGCCCTGTTTTGGGGCCCGACGGTTGTTCCAGGCCCCAAGGCAACGCACCCATTTTCAGTGAGCGACCTGGAGGCCTACGGCCATTTTTCCAGGCCAGGCATACACTTGGTTCCCCGAGTGCTCTCCTTTATTCAGCATTTATTATTTTTGCTGGGTTGTGCCTGGACTATTTTTGTCTGTTTCAGATGTGTCGGCTCGGACTTTTCCTTTTGTCCGAACAGGCAGATGCCTGTTCAGATCAGTGGATTTCAGTTTCGGCCGTTGTAGGCCAGGTTCAGATTTGCCCGTATGCGGGACTGGACCAGGCATTCGTCTGTTTGTGCCTGGCCCAGTCCTCAGGACCCTGCTGCATCAGCAGGGTTCCTGGAAGTCCGGTAGGGACCCAGGCAGGCCGCTTTTGGCCAGGATCGTAGGACCAGGACTTGGGCCTGCGATCAGGACCATCGGTCGGACATCAGATCCGATGGTCCTGATTGCAGACCGAGGACTGCTCAGCCAGGCCGTGTGGTATATAGCTGGGTCAGTCCAACACTTAGAGGACATTCGGGCTGGAGCCTCAGTTGGGTGTCATGCTGCTGGAGCAGCGCCAGTTTGGGGGAGAGCTGCGATAGAGCAGCGCTGGAGGAGTAGAGGGGTAGGCTGGAGTGGAAAGGTTTGGTGGAGGCCATGTCCACGACGGAGAGAGAGACCTACCCGGGCGCCATAGCTGGGACTTCATACCGGTCATGGGACCGGCCTTCAGCAGCGACCTGCATCAGGAGTCATCACCTTCGCTGGTCAGTATATGTGGCATCGTCATCAGGAGCGCGCGGGAGAGGAGAGTTCTTCTTCTTCTCCTCCTACTTCTCCTGATTTTTCTCCGCTCCTCCATAGCCACTATTCTTCTTCTTCTTCTCCTCCTCCCTCTTTTACTTCTTCTTCTTCAGGGAGAGGGAGAGAGATTTCAGGCAGTGACTATTTTGGGCCTATGTGCACCCAGCATCTGATTCGACATTTTTGAGGACAGACATTGGCTGGACATTTGACGAGGAGACCATTTCTTGGACGGCTTCGAGTCCTACTCTGTCTTCTCTCCCCTCTCCACCTTTGTCTCTCCTCCCCTCCATCATCTGTGGCTTCTTCCCGATGTGTGTGTGCAAGGAGGGACCTTTCTTCTGTGTATGAGTCCCCTCCTTGCTGTGTGACATGTGTGATGATGATTGTGTGAGTTGAGTCTGGATCTGATGTGTCAGGTCATATCTTTGAATCTTCCACTGTGCTACATAACATCATATCGTTTTGTTTTGAGTCCTGTTTGTCACACTGGCGTTCCTTGGACATGTGCACCGCTCATCTTCAGATGAGCATGCATCAGAGACAGAGAGACAGAGAGACAGAGACAGAGAGACAGAGAGACAGAGAGACAGAGAGACAGAGAGACAGAGAGACAGAGAGACAGAGAGACAGAGAGACAGAGAGACAGATGCAATGCCTTACTGATTCTGCAGCCTGCGACCCATCGACTCGAGGCTGTAACATAGGTAGGTTAGATTTGAAATTTTGTTTGGCTGAGGGCTAACAGAAATATCTGACCGTCAGGGAAATTCTTGAGGGACATATCTGTAAATCGGGAAAAAACTCTGGCCCGTACTAACTCGAATTCCTACAGACCCCTTAACTGCGAATAGCAGACCCGGGCTACCACTAGGACAGACAGGCCGCAAGGCCTAATCTGTTAGACTGGTCCTATAGCCTATAGCCGGGTAGGGAGAGGCCCTAGAGGCTGAAACGGAAACGGTACCGGTAGGTCCAGTCAGTCCGGTTGTTACATGCTGCGCCTGCACACGAGGGCCATTTTCCAGGCCCTGCGTCCCTCAGGCTGAAAGCCTGAAAACCAGGGCCTACAGGCCCCGTGACTGTTCAGCCCGAAAGCCTGAAACAGGGGCCTACAGTCCCTGTGTCGTTTCAGACTAAAAATGGCAACAGCCTTTTTTAGCCTAAAACGAAGGGCCATTTTCGGTCGTTCATCAGAACGACCGGCCCTGAAACTCAGGCACCGAACCAGGGTTTCGGGAACAGGCTATTCTTAGCCTGTTCCCACGCCAGCCTCAAGCAACTGCTGCAGCGCCAGCCCCTGGCACACTTCGGCATTGGCAAGAGCAGCCTCCTCGGCCTGGCTCGCCCTTCAGGCAGGCCGAGGTAGTACATAGGGACTTCCCATGCACTTCACAGGTAGGCAGGAGGCAGTAGTCTTCAGGATTCGGCCGCAGCACTCTGGAGGGAGCGCTGCAGGGAGTAGTAGTAGCGTTAGCCTTTAGTCTTCAGCGCTGGGCGCAGTAGGTAGCTGTAGTCTCCAGCGCTGGGCGCCATAGCTAGGATAGCACTAGAGAGAGAGAGAGAGATTGGGCGGAGGCCTTGAGTACCTACCTGCAGCGCCGTTGCTCCAGCTTCGTCTTCGAGGCACCTGCAGCACAGCGCCAACATCACAGGTTAGTATCTGGCTCGTAACAGAGAGAGAGAGTTCTTCTTCTTCCTCTTCTCAGTCCACCATCTCCCTCTCACCCTCTCATCATCTGACTCCACTGCATCTGCAGACTACGAGAGAAGAGAGAAAGAGCTTGGTGACATTAGATCCAGACTCGACTTTTGGACTTCAGACATTGCAACGAGGGATTATGTGGGACTCGTGACAAAGACTTGGTGTTGACGACATTCCCATCTCTCTCCCTCCTTTCGTCTGATCCCCTCCTCTTCGTCTGTGTATGTCTGGACCTGGCGCTTCCTTCCTGTGTACAGCGCCAGGCTCCTTCACACCTTGTGATGGATACGATGTATGTTTGGTCTGCATTCAAACATTGATTGGGCTAGTCATTAGCATTCTAGCTTTCTGCTTCGCTATCTTGCACTACGTGAATGAGGTCAGTCCCGTTCAGGTCAGGACTTGTATCTAAGTCTTCCACTGCGCTATTCAGCACCCTTTTGTATGTATGAGAATGCACTTTGCTTGTCGAGATTCTACTTGCACTGCATTGTACTTTCAGTCCTTTTCATCACATTGCGGATCCTCGGTTTCTATGTACATCGCCCAACTGGGCATGTAACACCGGTCCAGGTCGAGTCTAGGGTAGAGTAGTTCTATTAATAGATTGTAGAAGTCTGTTCAGGGCTTTTGGCAGTTGGTACCGCATACATCGCGGTTGCGCGACGCGTGAACTGAGTGGTAACAGCTCAGCGTTGGAGGAAGACAGACATAGTCGGACCTTCGAAGCGCCGGCCATAGCTGGGACCTGCGCTGTTCTCTGACAGCACGCGGGGCTGTTCAGAGGTCCGGGCTATCTGAAGTCTGCTGGGAGCAGGAGAAATTGGTGCCCTGCTGAACCCTCCTCAGGAGTAGGGTTTCAGGGTAGTGGCAGCTTGTATCCTCAGAGATCATCTTCGTAAGGAGGGTGGCACTGCTGAAGATCTTCATCAGAGAGGCCTTCTGGCACTTCATCTTCTTCATCCTCTGGGAGGCGCTTGGCCTCAGAGGCCTGTTTCAGGGTGGCGCTTCCCTCTTGAGGCAGTATCTGGGTGGCGCTAGTTGTTTCAGGGTCTCAGGGGTAGTAGTAGCGGTTACTAAGGGTCGGGAAAAGAAGCGCTGCTCATTTCTGAGCAGCGCACCATGGTTCTGAGGTTATTCTGCCAATACGAGACTCTGAGTTTAATAAACAGTGGTGATACTTTGTGTGAACTATCTTTGCTTCATTGTTTTCTGGATGTGATCTACTCGGTTGTGAGGATTTTGTGGAGCGAATTGCACTTTCAGTGTACTCTGTCATATCGCACGGTCAAGTCTACCGCAGTGTTTCTCTCTCCCTGTGCGGTGTGATACTCCCATCCTCTCCTTCCTTCTGTGTATGTATGGGCATACCTGGAAGTCTATGTGCGTGAGTGTTGGTCTTCTGACAACAAACAACCAGGTTCATAACACAGAGAGACAGAGAGACAGAGAGACAGAGACACAGAGAGACAGAGAGACAGAGAGACAGAGAGACAGAGAGACAGAGAGACAGAGAGAGACAGAGACAGGGGGACGGACCGAGCGACGGACAGACCGAGCGACGGACGGACCGAGCGACGGACGGACCGAGCGACGGACGGACCGAGCGACGGACGGACCGAGCGACGGACGGACCGAGCGATGGACGGACCGAGCGACGGACGACCGAGCGACGGACGACCGACCGAGCGACGGACGGACCGACCGACGGACGACCGACCGACCGACCGACCGACCGACCGACCGACCGACCAAGACACAAACAAAGACACAGAGACACAGACATAGACACAGACGGACAGACAGACAGACAAACAAACAGACAGAGACACAGACATAGACACAGACACAGGCACAGATAACACACACAGACAAAACACACACACACAGACAGACACAGATACAGACAGACACAGGTACAGACACAACACAGACAGAGAGAGGTAGTGTGTGGGTTTGGGCTCGCAGATAGATGTATCTTCTTACCTCACAATAGTTGGTAGAATCTGAAGCTTCCAGTGCAAAGACAGGCTTCATGAACAGCTTGTTCCTCATCAGCCGCTGCAGAAGGATCTGCATCCTTTCTCGATATAAAGCTGTCTTCGACTTTGCATCACCAAATATGGATCGTTTTGTGGTAGACCTGACAGAGGCAGCACAATAAAGAACCGCACAGGAAGAGTCCTGACAGCAGCAAACAGCAAGTTTTTGAGGCACAACACATGCCACAAAAATTCATTGTGACTTGAACAAAAGCTCTCTATCAACAGGGCTACGGCTTCCTTTCTAGCAACAGTGACAACAGTGATAACATCTGGACTTGTTGCAGCTTCCCCTGCAAGACCAGGACTCCAGGAGTGTGATATGTATAGACAGATCATCATTAACAATGAACTCCTTCAGAAAATCAAAAATAAAACACGAAGGGTAAGAGTCTGTAAGACTGAAGAACCAAAAAGGCTCAAACAATCAATCTCCAAGTGAGAAGAGAGTTCAGACGTAGTTTTGAGAAGAAAACAATCAATCTGCAAGCCACCCCTTGAAGTGCACAGACTCATCACCACAGAAGAATGTGACAAAGTTTTGAGCGATACTGAGACCTCCACCCCCCCCCTCCCTTCCCCAACCGGGCATCCACCCACTCGCCTGCTTGTTGGCTGTTTGTTCCTTCGTCGTAGCATCCTGTCGTCCATCCACCCCACCTACCCACCCATCCATCCATCCAGGTAACCATTCCATCTGGTAAGCCAATACCTCAGTGACTAACAGCAATCAGTGAAGTCAACCACCACTGAAGGCACTTAGTCAAAGTGGCAATCGATAAATGCCAGCCAGTCAATGAAGCCAATAATCTCAGCCAGCCATGTCTGTCAATCAAGAGCTCAGCCAATCAGTTAGCCAAATGGGGACGGGGGCGTTGTCAGACATTCACTAACACAAAACCCCGTTCAAACAGCAGTAGCATAGTAAACAGCAGCAGCGCTACCAGCACCAGCAGCTGGCGTAGTAACAGCAGCAGCAATAGCGATAGGAGTAGGAGTAGTGTAGCAGCAGCAGCGACGGCGGCGGCAGCAGCACTGGCGGCAAGAGCGGCAGTGGAAGCAGGAGCAATCTGAAGCCCACAGTAGCATCTACCTTTCTCCACCACTCCGAGAGAAAACAGGCCCAGCAACAGTATGTTATGATCCACGTACCTTGCACTCGTTCAGTTGACAAGAACGTTAAACAAAATGCGTTCGGTTTTATGATGCTGTTTGCATTCAGAAAACCGGGCACGGAGGAGCTGTAACTCTTCCTCTTCTTCTCCTTCCTCACTCATTTGGTCTACCGTTACCATCGAGGACCAAAGCGAGAGAGAGATTCAGGAGGCGGGACTAGTCTGCCTGGCAAAAAATACCCCACCGCGGCCCACTACTTCAAGTGTTCAACTCCTACACCACCCTCCAGCTCAATGGATACAATGCAAAGATTCAAAATAACCATCGCTGTGCAGCAACGGTAACCTGAGACCCTTCGCCCCTTGCCGATGCAAGCAAGCTGTGACTGGCAACAACAGCTTGACGACAAGTGGGCCTGTTCCAGCCATCCTCTCCCACAGTTGCTGGACACGCCTAAGCAAAATTCTTAACTGTTTCTCTTTCCGCTTAGCCATTGCTGCTGCTCAGCTCCCTCTGCATCTTGCACCTCTGCCCTCAGATGCAGCTCAACCAAAGGCCAACACTCCAAGTTCACCATACAAGTTACAATCCGCATCACCCAGCGCTAAACCACAAGTACACTAGTCTGGAAGTCGGTCATTATCGCTGTATCTAGTCTGGAAGTTGCGCAAAATACAGGTATGATGACTGGGTCTTATATTCGGGTTAAACCACAAGTGGTACACGGCCCCAGCCTTTGCAGTCCAAAACTTGTCGCCACAAGAAAAAAACGACGAGGCCGAAACGTCAGACGCTGGGCCCGCCGTTGATAAATTTGATCGGTGGGCCCGCTTTGTTTCGCGCCTCCAGAATTTGAGGTGTTAGACCCGCGGCCCAGGTGCCCATGTACTGGTGGTTTAAGGGTAGGCCAAACGGAAGCAAGCGGCTTTACCTGCTCATCCTGTATGGTAACGGTAAGAAAGAAAAGTTTGAACGTAGTCAACCAAAAATAAATTAGAATGCAGAGTCTCTGCACCAGTGAACAATTTCATATGGACATAAGGAAAACAGAAATATGTTACTTGTGTTCAACTACCTACACTCACTCTCACCTCTCTCTCTCTCTCTCTCTCTCTCTCTCTCTCTCTCTCTCTCTCTCTCTCTCTCTCTCTCTCTCTCTCTCTCTCTCT